AGATTTTCGCATCAAATAAGATACATACCCCTGAATAAAGAATTGTGTGGCAACTAAGTTACCGGGTAAACACTCTGTCTTTCTGAGCTATCATAAGGCCACTGAATGAGAGCAGAGCATCACCGTAGCTGGTACGCGAATACGCCTGGTGTTACTGGTACCCTCTTTTTTTCCGAGCAGTGTTTTCAGTTGAGTAGCAGATTTAACAAATCCAGTGTGCCTCAATGGCACTTGGTTTCGAAGGTGAAGTTCCATAACCGGCGCCATGCTATTTTCCCGTCTCTTAAACATTCAACTTTAAACGGCCACACAGGACCCCTCGTCCGTCGCCACGCCTACCAGCGTGGTATTTTGCGATTGCCTTGTCACATACTGGAGGCGACTGCGCATCTGCGAGCAGTTGCCGGCTCGAAGGGGTCAGAGTCTGGCAGATTACTTGTAGTGACTACTAGGTTCATACCGTCTGCGACAGCCAACCCACGCCGCATCAGCGAAAACAGTGCTCACGAAGTTACCTGACAACTAAAACTTTCAGTGGGGGTCCCACCGCGAAAGATCAAAGCGCAGAGAAAAAAAACTGCGTAGCAGGGCAGAGAGGTACAAAAAACGTGTCACGAACCGAGAGATCTTTTTTTGGAAGGAGAGGACATGGGGAAGGACAAGCCATTCATAGTTGTTCACTTTTATTTTGTAAAATTGGAATGTGAAAGGCGAGAGCGGTCATTAAACGCCACGCAGACGTGAGAGCGCTGAAAAAAACAGAGAGTTCGACGTCATTAAAGGCGATGAGTTCTAATTGTTCGTAGCCGCTCGCGAACACACCCCCTTGAGACACCGTGATATGAACTGTACATTGACCCGAATAAAAATTCTCATGTTTCATAGTGTGAAAGGGCCGCTACCTCCCTTCCAGTCAGTAAAAATGGCGCTATTTGTACATTCATTATTTTATTAACAAGAATAACATATAAAATAAACATGAGACACGAGACAAGGCAAAGAAACAAATTCGCCCAATCAGGCATTTTAAAGCGAGTAAGACAATTTTCAATAGAAAATGGGGTCACCAGACGAGGCAGACAGTTAGGCAATAGCATACAAACCGAGTCTCTTCAGAATCGGAACCTCCAAAAATCGAACCTATTACTGGAATAAAGAGAATATTACACAAAATAAGCACAGTTATAAACTCTATAGCGGATTAATGTTATGTAAGTTCAAACAATTCAAATTTCAAAAGAAAAACAAGCAAATAAACATAACACCGTTCTAACCAAGCACCCATTACCAGTAACAGACACGTTAGTAATCACAAAAATGAATAAATATGACCACGAGTATCAAAGCATCTGTTACCCTTCCATCATTAGTGAAGTATTCGAAATCGAAATAATCTTGTTAGCTGGAAAACTATAGACTACGGACTGAGTCTAGGCACTTTCTTCAGCGGAGCTTGTCGTGCTAGATATCTGAAAATATGGGACTAACATCATCAATACTATTACTTACAGCTTTTTGATTCTGGTGAGGACATATGGTGCTACTGGAGAGGTAGTCCTTTCCAAGCATGATGATGCAGCTACACCAGCACTATTCACCTCCCCCAATCTTCCGAACAGACCAGTTTTTTAACAACCTTTTTCTGAGAGGACAGATCTGGCTGAACTCTGTTCCCAAGAGTAGTTCGACCCCCGAACGATTTGGCTCAACATTCCCCAGGGAACTCGACCACCTGAACACGAATATCTGCCCGGTTTGAAATCGCCTAGTACCTGCGACAGAGGAGCCGTCGCCAGAAGACCTCAAGACACGGAATCGCTGAAAACTTGCCCCCTGAAACAGTTTGTCCACTAGTACCCGAATAGCTTATCTGCATGGAGTGTCAATGGAGTTCAGGATGGAGGGAAAGGGGTAAATCAGCGCAGCCTGCTCTGCTTATCTGCGCCTCTCTCTAGAGATGGATTCCTTCCTCTGCTAAGGCTGAGCCTCATTAAAGCGAAAAATCACAATCGTAAACAGTCAGGAAGGTTTTCTCCTCACCGTCTCCCTATCTGCCCTAATACAGTCCTGGAGTCCGGGCTACACGCGCCAGAGTCGAAATAAGCGCCATCAGCTCAGAAGAAGTACTCGGGTTCTAGTCAAACTAAAGCAAGAGACCGGGTGCGACGCGGTCATGGCGTATCAACAAGCAGGTAGAGACATCTGTGACACCAAGCGGTCACGAGGCTCTACTTTCTTTACACCCCCTTTCGAGTAGCAAAAGTGGTACACTTCTGTGGCTGAGGAATTACATACTCAGCAAGCCGTCCTTTTTTCAGGTTATCAAAAATGATCTCTAACGGCAAGTGCTAGATGAAGGAAATGAATTAAGCGGGTAACCCAGAGGTGTTTGGGTCTATGAAAATGGCGGAAAGACAGGTTTCCTTTCAGAATAGGATAGTAACGGATTAACTGCCGATCTAGCTCTACTTCATCTATTACAAGTAGCCTATAAGAAGGCTTACCATCCGATTATGCTTACAAACTTTTGAGCGCGATCTTGTTTCATTATTAGATGACAACGACGACGCCGTGGAATCGGTTGTAGTTGCCGGTGACGAGAAATTTTCCGGGAATTCATCTACACGCGAAAAATCCAGACGAGGAATAGGACGATTACGGTATCGAAGTCGAAGAGGCTGATGATACGGTGGGCAAGACATCGTCCTGAAGAATTCGTGATATTTTTCATGTTCAAATCAAAACACTTTCATGGAGCCTACATTCTACTCTTTGGTGAACGTTCGAATGAGTCGTCATCAGAATTAAAGACACGTCCGTGGTTTGTTGGCGACCAGTCCCCACATCCTGCCTTCCTCTTACTGGCTTCACTAGCTGACACTCGTGAATCGGCTCTACGACTCTTACCTTCTGACTTCGACAGACGGCTCATACTGAAAAATGAAGCATTAAATTGCCAATTCAATTCCATTCCCGGATTGTATTGTACTATGCTAACGGTGTAGTGTTCTCTGGTGGAGTGTGCGCAGCTCTATTGTGTTCACTTGAGGACGACGGTGTGTCTTCATCAAAGTTCAGTCGGTACCTAAAGAAGACATGATTCGGCGTTGGAATAATATGAAATGAAATAATTAAAGACATAAACACTATTAATTAGGAAGTGGACCAGTCGCCAGTCGGAGGCGAGAAGGACAGGTATGCAACTGCAAGGCGCTAAGATTGGTTTTTATTCTCGTTCACTGCGTATGCTGGTGGAAATCGGGCTGGCGACACGCCAAACCCAGCCCCTGACACGCCCCCGCATTCACAGCGAATAAGATATACTCATTTGGAGCTGCACAGCAATGATACTAAAAGCTTGTAGTTTAGTGTTCATTCCGTTTATGGTCGCTATTCTACGCCGTACACACAGGTCACGGCATGCCTATCACAAGGCCAGTCATAAAAGAAGGCATAAATAGTGTTTTGTTATGGCTATAAGCATGGCAAGCTGCGAGTTGCGTATCGTGCACAGAATAGAGGGCGGAAACGGTATAAACACGCCACCACAACCCTCATGCTTCATCGCCCCGCATTTTCAATGGATAGCGCTTCGTTTCCGTGAAAGCGCGTTCATACTTCGAGATCTGGTCGCTTGGATCGCATGATAGGATTTCTGAAGCGATTGGATCACGCGACAGCGAGCAGGGCCGCTCTACCGCTAATCAGTGGACCGCCGCAACGGCAGTGCTCAATGAGTTCTGGCGGTGGCGGTCCAGCGATTGGCGATGGAACGATCCGGTTGCTCGAGCGACTGCAGAGTATGAACGCGTTTTGACTGAGACCAACCCCTCTTACACATAAAAAGGATCCACTT